GCATAGTGGGAACCCCAGGCCCAGTCTCCTGGGTTAATAGTAACTGAGGCCCCCAATGCCTTGATCACTCTTCAGCCCTTGCTACCAAAGATGGGCAAGCTGCCCAAAGTTTTAGCAGAGAAAATCAATAGTCATGTCAGCAGAACATATACCCCTCTCTTCAAACATCCTACAGTGCTGAGTCCAGAGACTCCTGACTCTCTTCTAAGGACCAGCCAAGAAAATACTAAGGAGAGTGGATCTGGTATATAAACCCACTTTTTCTTTAATGAAATCAATAGCATTTTAGGTACTTGATTACCAAAACCTTTACAGAGAACAATATGTTCTGTGCAGAAAAAGCTAGAGAACAAGGTAAACTATTACCACATCCAATAATGTCTTATCAAATCAACCGGTATCCAAAAGCATCCCCCGACACTAGTGAGTAATGTTCTGTTGCAGCCAACACTTTGGCTCACATTAGCACATCCGCTGTAGTTCTTGGGCAGTGGTTTTGGTCTTCCAAATAAGTTGAGATCATAGTCTTTTTGTTGCTGTTTCCTGCCAGGCAAAGAAGTGGTTTCGCCCTCAGCCTTTTACAGACCACCGAAAGATAACAAAACACTAAAGCAACCCGACCCTCCCCATGTGCAACTCCTGCCAACTCAAAATCTCCTCAAACAATAGGCTAAACAAGACCAATATTCCAGGAGATGGGGTTTATGAGGCCCAACACCTCTGCCTGAGAATGAATCATAAAACCACTAGCACTCTATTCTCCAACATTACGCCATCTAGCCCCAAACTGGGTTGAACTGTGCAAAATGAAAAAGAAATCAGGAACACACTGAACTTAAAACCTCAAGTACATTTTAAATCCTGCTTTAGATTCATTTAAATTAACAGAGGTCAGGCTACTTCTTTATTCAAGCTAGGCTATTCTTACTGCTTTAATACCAAAAGCAGTCAGCCACATTTTTCGACTAAAAAAGTTTAAAAAAAAAAATACCCTGACAGAAGAACATTCTAAAACTCAGTAGAGAATATGGAAACAGCTTACAATAAACTTTGCCTTCTAGAATAACTAATGTAAGAAATTACCCAGTTATTTGGCCATGGGAAACAACTATTTATATATTTTTACATATTTTGCAGGTCACAAGTTAAAAGCACACTTTTTATTTTCTAGCACAGCTTTTTTCCAAAGTGTTTTATGAAGAGCACCAGTGCAGCAAGACAAAAGCAAGTTAAATAAGCTTGAGAACCTTCCCCCTTCCTGGGAAAGACTGATACACACTTGCGTATTAAGGAGTCTGAGAAGTCCTACAGTAAACTCTGTGGAACCCAGCATTTTCCCAAGTTCATTTGGCCCTGTAGCCCTTTTTCTCTCATAGCACATTATTAGCATCCCACAAAATGGCTGTTCTGCAAAGCACATTTTGGGAAAGATTCCTCTAGAAAAGGGATTTCATGAAATGATTTAATGGCTGAAAGTCTAGTCACCCCAATTCCAATACCAGCTTCACCACTGGGAGGCTGAACAAGCTTCTTAGTGTCACCTCTTCTTCAGTTTCCCCGGGCAAAATGGGCCAAATAATAGCACCTACCTCCCAGGCCTGGGTCTTTCCACATGACTGGAACAGTCTTCTGAGAGCTTCACATGGCCGGTTCCTTCTTATCATTCAGGTCTCAGTTCACAATATCACCCCCTCCAAAGAGGCCTTCCCTGACCACCCAATATCAAGTTGGCCCCACCCAGGTCACTAGTTCTTCATCCTCTTCTTTTCTTCGTTACTTCTCTGTTTAACTATGAAATTATGTTTCACCCCTACAGAATACAAGCGTGATGAAGTCAAACTTTATTAGCTATGATTGCTTTATCCCAAAGCAGATCCTCAGTAAGTGCTCACTGAATGGATGGACAACCAAATGCACCAGGTAGTTTTGAGAGTTAAATAAATATGAATCAATGAAAAGTATTCTTCGAAGTGTCTGACACATAAGCATCTACCCAGATGCTGTTACGAAAACTTCTAATGAATGATGAGTGGTTAAGATACTCCTAATTCTTGGGGCACCTGGGTGGTTCAGTGGGTTAAAGCCTCTGCCTTCAGCTCAGGTCATGATCCCAGGGTCCTGGGATCGAGCCCCACATCAGGCTCTCTGCTCAGCAGGAAGCGTGCTTCCTCCTCTCTCTCTGCCTGCCTCTCTGCCTACTTATGATCTCTCTGTGTCAAATAAACAAATAAAATTTAAAAAAAAAAAAGGATACTCATAATTCTTGCATTATTTAACTTTCCTCTTCCTGCTGTATTGTGGGTAAACATTTCATGGCATTTATTCAGAGACGTGTTGGTAAATGGGCTTCAGGGATGGGGTGGCAGGGTCGTAGGCCCTGGGGGTAGCATTTGCTGATTTCCATGGTATAAATACTCCCACCATGACTAATTTCAAGTTATCAATGGTTTAAAAGCAGGCTCACAAAATTCCTGAAAATGTAACAAATGGCTCTCAGAAGATAGTACAATCCTTCTCTTGGGGAACATCCTTTCAGGCCTCCAAAGTCTTTTTGTTGAGTTAAGTTTAAAATGAGGTGTTTTTTTTTTCTTATAGAGACACCTTTTCCACATTCACCTTCTTGATAAGCCAAGAAAAAGGCAATCCACTGACTTTCATTTGATGCCCAAGGAAACTAGCTGAATATGTTGGGCTGCATTTTCTGTACCACTCTCTGTGGGCTCTCAGACTGATGGTTAAAGCTCTAAACATGATCTATTTCCTGGCCAGACCACTGTGAGGGCAAACTAATCTTGTAAAACAAACTGAATTTTGTTTAGATTCATTTAAGTGGAGGCATCCACACAACAGAATCAAGGCACCATCTACTTAGTACTACCAGTGAGCAGAATCTAATAACAGGAAAGAGTGACTCTGCCCTGACCCCAAGACCCCAACATGGAGTGAAGGTCAGTGCTGCAGATGGAGGTTTCTCTGGCATCACTGTCCTGCTATACATGCAACATGAGCCCTTGGCACCCAAAATAAAGCAGCAGATTTCTTTAACTATGTTAATCTCCAGCCATAGTTCTAAGATAATACAACCAAAATTTCAAAATCCATGGTTGCTTTACATGCAAGTGACTACTGCCAGTAGTTACTGTTTCTCTTCGGAAAACTCAATGTAAAGTCTATGGAGTGAGGCAGGAAGAGATTAGTCTCTGCTCCACTCTATCGTTTATTTATTGCTGTGTAACAAATTACCCCCAATTCAGCAGCTTAAAACAACACACATTTATTATCTCACAGATTCTGTGGGTCAGGAATCCAGGCACAGCTTAGGTGGGTCCTTTGCTTCAGTCTCTCCAAAGCTGCAGCCAAGGTGTCAGCCCAGGGCCTGTCATATTATCTGAAGGTTGCACTGGGGAACGATCCACTTCCAAGCACACTAAGTGGTTTTTGGCAGTTTTCAGTTCATTGTGGCTGTTTGAGTGAGGGTCTCAGTTCCTAATTGGGTATTGACTGGAGGCTACTCTCAGTCCCTTACCACATGGGCCTCTCTCACATGAGCTCGCTTCATCAAAGCAGGCAAGTTGAGAATAAAATAGAGTGTGCTAACAAGATGAAAAGAACAGTCTTATATAACCTAATCATGGAAGTCACACTGGCATCCCATTACCTTCACTGTATTTTGTTGTTTAGAATCAAGTTGCTAGGTTCAGCCTATACTCGAGGACATGGATTTACACAAGGGTATGATTTCCAAGAAGTGTATATCATTAGGGGCCATCTTAGAAGCCTAAGATGACATTCAGCCTCTTGGAATATGGACGGGAAGACCCAGTCCCAGCAAAACATCTCTTTAAGCATCTCAATCCAAAACCAAGCCATGTGGCTTCCCAAGCATGCTGTTAATGTCTCATGAAAATAAAACAAGGGAGAATAAGCATGAAGGACATTAAGTCTGAAGATACAAAAGTCCGTTCAAATTTTCTAAGCAAATACAATCTATATCAGAGGAAACTCCTGGGGGCATCAAGCCCCATCATGGAAGCCATGTTTTCTGAACCACCAAAAAAATGACTCACAAGAACTGCCATCTGAAAAGGTATATAATGCCAAGAAATCTAATTCTGAAAGCAAATATCTTTTGGAATGTTTATTTATTGCTATAGAAAACTTTTAAAATAAACTTAATGCCATTTTATTGCTTCCTATTTTCTGTGAGATCTGTGCCTCCCTCAACATTTTGCCTACAGGGTACTTTTGAGATCCACATCCACCATAGCGGCAAGGAACTGCTGTAAAAGTTTCAAACCTTGGCTATCACCCACATTTTTTTCTAAGCTCTATCCAACTAAATATCCTCAGATATCTGAGCATCCCAGTATTCAATAGTGGTGGCAGGCCGGAGAGCCTCTGAAGTACTTCAAATTATTTAATCCACTAAGTGCCAAAATGCATATTCAAGAAACCTGGGACAGTTTTTCCTAGCCAAAAGAAAATGCAGATGAAGATTATCTTAAACCTAAATGTTCAAAACTGGCCTGCCCATTTTACCGTTCTTCCCAGAAATATCCATATGCTTTACTTTCTGCAAATGCTGCCCCAATTCAGCTATAAAAATATTTAGGTTCATTGTTTTGCTAATCACCTATTTGTTTTGCTCCTATAGAGAGATGTATTTGATAAACATCTAAAACTTAGTACTGTACTTAAAAAACCCTGAAACTGGCCATCTGTGGGAAAGTAATGGTAAACCACCTTAGAGCTGGCATGTGCTACACACACTTGGGTCCTGAATATGTGTCAAATAACAATGGAACATATGTGTAGTGAGCAAAGAAAAAAATCTAATGCAAAATTCCAGTTTAGAGGTGATAAACAGACAGGAAGATTATAAAACAGATGCCAGGAAATTTTGTTAAGGCTGCAGATATCTTCCAACCTGTGCAAATAACTTGGTAACATATTTTAACTTATAAAATATGGGTTTGGGGCAATAGAGGGAATGTCCTTACCTCTCTAAGATGTATGTTTTCCTTCTCCTTCTGGTCTAAAATCACTTCTAAGTGACTGACTTGAGACTCAGCCTCTGCCATCCGTCGTGTTCGTTCATTGTCATCCTCGAGACTTTTAGAAGGCAACCCTTTACTTTGCAACATCTCAAGAAGCTTTTTAATCGACTCGTCTCGGGCATTGAGGGTCTGTTTCTGTGTTTCAATTCTCAGCTCCATTTCCTCCAAGGTCTTCCTTAAAAGGAACAGCTCTTTAGCTTGTCTGTCATGTTCAGCTTGGAGCCGCCGGAAGTTCTCCTCAGTCAGCTCAATGGTGAAGTGCTCAGCTCCACGGTTGCCACTCTCTTGCTGCAGGAGGTGATTGAGGTCTCTCTGGGTCCGAAGCTCATCCTGAAGGGCTTGGATTGTCAACTGCAGGTGCTGTGATAAGAAAGATGGAGCAGGAGAGGAGAAAGAAGGGGGAAAAGTCAATGGAAATGCCAAGCGCTATTTGCTACTACCAGACTATGAAGATGGAATGTTAATCATGAGGTAGGTCCAGAGGGCCAGCCGTTAAGTCCTCCAGGATGACTTCAGAAGCATGGGACAGCACATGGAGAGGGGGAAATTAATTCAGTGATGCTTTCTGAATGTCTCAGGAGAAGAGAAATGTACACATACACAGAAACAATATATTAGTGTCAGTCACAAGGGAAATTATACATCTACAGAGTTTTAATTGAGGAAGTGGAAAGGGTTAGAAGGGAAAGTCTCACAAACACACCTTCTTTAGGCCCGCAATGCTCCAGACTCAGTATTCCTTGTTTCCTAAGGTGTTCTTTATTCTACTATCCATACTTTCAATGATAAATGCATTTCCATTTAAAAAATGAAAATAATAGCATCCACTACAAGTAGACACAAACAAGGACTTTATTTTTTACAAATAAAGCTGTGAACAGGTTTAGTAAACAGGATTACTGCATCTGCAAGCAAAAGGGAATAAATGCAGACAGACAGACACAAACACACAAGGAGGTGAGGCTGTGCAGAGCAAAACAAACAAGCTGCAAAGAGTGGACAAACCTTGGTTCTTCTGGCATCCAGTAACTGAACAGCATGGGAAATGGAAAAAAAAAAAATGAAGCAAAAAATAAACACAAAGAAAAGTCCAGTGCAAGCAAAGGATATTTAACAGAAAGAATCAACATAAAATACCTTCACAGAGGAAAAAAAAAAAAGAAAAAAGAAAAACAAATTCTTATTACAGCAAAGATCCATAAGCTACACAAAATCTATAGCACTGCTGTTTGATAAACATGGTCAAAAGAAAGAAAAAAAAAAGAAGAAGAAGAAGAAGAAAGTGAGGTTAATTCCAGCTTTTGTTTTCTTAAATCTCACTGACCCAGGAACCCAAAGTCTTCAGTATACTACCAGGGAAGAAAGAACAACACTCCAGAAGTATCCACATATTATTCCAAGTCACCATTTCAGCCAAAATCAGAGTGAAAACACCAAAGAAACAAAACAGTTACGGTTATGAGAAAAGAAACAATTGCATGAGGATAGTTGGTGAATTCTGCAACACCTTCCCCACAGGGTCAACCCTCAGGCTGGTCTGAACAGGCAGTCATAAGCTAGAAGGCATTTTTGTCCTAGGAATAAACCAGGGCACTTCCAAAAGAGTTCATTCAATCACCAAACACACACTCCTGCCAGCAGACCAGACATAACACTAAGCAAGGGAATCAAAATGAACACAAGGCATAGCTCCTGCCCCCAGGTACCTCACAGTACTGTAAGCCATAAATAATACTATGTCTACGTTACATAAATATTGGAGTGCCCCACATTTTGAAATCTTTCTGAACTCCTATAGCTGGCACCCAGAGGTGTTGAGATCTTTCTGAGTCTGGTCTATGCCCAGAGATTAGCACTAAGTATTGCAACATCTTGATTAAACTATTTGTGGATCTATTTCATCTTCCATTTAAGAATATCCATTGAGACATTCCCAGAGCACAAAGAACAAGTATTCTCTTTCTCATCCATGTGCCACAGTGTCTCACAGGGCAGTGACTGCGAGTGAGCAACTGGTATGTATTTAATGATGGTAATTATGAATTTTTTAAACAAAATTCACTCCTGTAAAGTGTAAAATTCAGTGGTTTTTAGTATATTCACAGTGTTGTGCAACCATCCACACGATACATTTTAGAACATTTTCATCATTCCAAAAGAAGATGCAGGATACAAAATTAATATAAAGAAATCTGTTGTGGGGTGCCTGGGTGGCTCAGTTGGTTAAGCATCTGACTCTTGATTTTGGCTCAGGTCATGATCTCAGAGTCTTGAGATCAAGCCCCACATCAGGCACTGTGCTGGAAGTGGAACCTACTTAAGATTCTCTCTCTCCCTCTCTCTTTCTCCCCCCACAGCCATCCTCACTCTCTCTTACTCTCTCCCTCCCAAAAAAGAAAGAAATCTGTTGCATTTCTTTAGACTAATAATGAAACAGAAGAAGGAGAAATTAAGAAAACAATCTCATTTACAATTTCACCAAGAATAAAATACCTAGGAATAAGTTTGACCAAGAAAGTAAAAGCTCTCTACACTGAAAACTCTAAGACACTGATGAAAGAAACTGAAGGCAACACAAAGAAATAGAAAGATAGTCCATGCCCATGGATTGGAAGATTTAATATTGTTTGTTCACTTGTTTGTTTGTTTGTTTTAGAGAGGAAGAGAATCTTAAGCAGGCTCCACACCCAATGTGGAGCCAACACAAGGAATGATCTCATAACCCTGAGATCACAACCTGAGCCAAAATCAAGGGTTGGACACTTAACTGACTAAACCACCCAGGTGCCCCAGGATAATTATTGTTAAAATGTCCACTCCACCCAAAGCAATCTAGATTCAGTGCAATCCCTATCAAAACATCAATAGCACTTTTTCTCAGAACTAGAACAAATTATTCTAAAATCCATGTGGAACCACAAAATACCCCAAATAGCCAAAGCAATCTTGAAAAAGATGAATAAAACTAGAAGTATCACAATCCCAGATTTCAAGATATACTACAAAGCTATAGTAATCAAAACAGTATGGTACTGGCACAAAAGTAGCCATATAGATCAACTGAATAAGATAGAGAGCTCAGAAAGAAGCCCATGCTTATATGGTCAACTAATCTATGACAAAGGAGGCAAGAATTTAAAATGGGGAAAAGACAGACTCTTCAATAAATGGTGTTGGGAAAATTGAACACCTATATGAAGAAGAATGAAACTGAAGAACTTCCATACTGTTTCCCATAGTGGTTGCACCAATTTACATTCCCACCAACAGAGTAGAAGGGTTCCCTTTTCTCCATATCCTCAGGAACACTTATTTTCTTCCTCTTTCTGATAATAGCCAGTCTGACTGGTATGAGGCGGTATCTCAATGTGGTTTTGATTTGTATTTCCCTGACAATCAGTGACTTTGAGCATCTTCTCAAGTGCTATTGACTGTATGTCTTCCTTAGAAAAATGTTTATTCATGTCTTCTGCCTATTTTTTAAATCAAGTTGTTTTTTGACTAGTAATTTATGTAAGTTATCTATATATTTTGATATTAACCCCCTATCAGATAATAGGATTTGCAAATATCTTCTCCCATGAAGTAGGTTGCCTTTTCATTTTGTTGCTGGTCTCTTTTACTGTGCAAAAGCTTTTTATTGTGATATAATCCCATTTGTTTATTTTAGCTTTTGTTGCCTGTGTCTGAGGAGACTGACCAGAAAAATATTGCTTGATGTCAAAGAGCTTATTGCCTATGTTTTCTTCTAAGAGTTTTATGATTTTAGGCCTTACATTCAAAGCTTTAACCCACTTTGAATTTATTTCTATATATGCTATAAGATAGTGGTCTAGTATCACTCTGGCATGTAGCTGTCCAGTTTTCCCAACATTGTTCATTGAAGTGTTTGTCTCTTCCCCATTTTATATTCTTGCCTCCTTTGGAATAGATTAGCTGATCATACATGTGTGGGTTTATTGCTAGACTCCATTCTATTCTATTAATTTATGTGTCTGTTTCCATGGCAGTATCATATAGTTTTGATTAGTATAGCTTTGCAATATAGTTTGAAATCAGGAAGTATGACCCCTCCAGCTTTGTTCTTTCTCAAGACTGTTTTGGCTATTTGGGGTCTCCTGTGGTTCCACACAAATCTTAGGATTCTTTGTTCTATTTCTGTGAAAAGTGCAATTGGTATTGTGTTGGAGACTGCACTGAATCTGTAGATCGCTTTGGGTATGGACATTTGAACAATATTAATTTAACAATATTAATTCTTCCAATCCATGAGCATCTTTCCATTTGCTGGTGTCATCTGAAATATCTTTCATCAGTGTCGTACAGTTTTCAGACTACAGGACTTTCACCACCTTGATTAAATTTTATCCTAGGTATTTTATTATTTTTGATGCAATTATAAATGGAATTATTCTCTTAATTTCTCTTTCTGACAGATTATTAATATATAGAAAAGCAACTGATTTCTGCATGTTAATTTTGTATCCTGCAACTTCACTGAATTAATTTATTAGTTCTAATAGGTTTTTCTCTTTTTCTATTCATAATATCACATCATCTACAAATGATGACTGTTTCAGCTACTCCTTACCAATTTGGATGCCTTTTATCTCTTTTTACCTAATTACTGTGGTAATTATATGTTAAATATATGTTCTAATAATATGTTGAATAAAAGTAGCAAGAGTGGGCATCTTTGCATAGGCTTTGACAATTGTTTTCTTTCTTTTTTGCAGTGAAGTGCCTCACTTAAGATTTGATTGCCAAGACATTCACTTTAAAGAGGCATCCACTTCAATGATGGCTACCTTGAATAAATATATTATCAACCACAGGACTAGATAAGAGACAGACTGCCTGCCCCAACTGAGGCTCCTTTGTTTTAGAAATTTTGGTTGATTTCAATAACTGACCTTTTAAGCCACTTGTTTTTTCTCTTCCCACACTTTAAATCTCCCCTCTTGTGTTTTAAATTCACCAATAAAGAATGAGCCCACAAAACCCCCCATCCTTGACCCCAATAAAAGCAGAACCAGACCCATGCACTCTCTACCCATGACCTCACCGTATGGCCCCACCTCTGCTGCACAATTTCCAGGTTCTTTAAATGATAAACCTCTATTTTTTTTCAAAATTTCTTGATGGTTATTGTTGAAGGGCATCTTGCAATCATACTAAGAACCACAAGGATAATCCAACCACAATACTGGTTATTGATAAACTGAGACCAGTTCAAAAGAGATTTATGAGATGATCTAGGTTTATTTGGAAACAAACATGAATTGGGATGATCAGACTGGAAATCATCCTTTCTGAGAGTGACCAAAACTGATTGTTTCTCTTTTGTGGTTCACAGGCTG